TCTATGTGGTAAAAAAAAAGTTATGTTTCTTGCTCTTAAGAATAATGGCTTTATGAAAAAGAAGTCATATAGTGCCCAGGGCCTGGCACTTCAGGGAGTGTCTCTGGTGTGTGCAGCATTTGCTCTGCTATCGAGTTTTGGCTTTTCTATCCAACAGATCAGTTGTCTGCAGAGGCTTTCCTTGCTTGCTGTGGATAGTGTTTGATCTTTGGCCAGAATGTTGTGAGTTTTAACTAGGTGTGCTCTCATCTGCTTGTTAAATGAGAACGGATACTGCTTTCCCTAGAACTGAAGCCCTGCAAAACTCTCTGGTCAAAAGATGTGGTGTGGGCAAGGGTTTCTGCTGGTCCTCTGGGGAGGGAGTCTTATGTGTTGGGCCTGAGGCAAGCTTGACTGAGAAGGGTATGGAACTTGGGATAAGTAAGTTAGGCAGTTTGTGTTGGCATTTTGCTGCTTCCCACAGGTGGCTCTGTGTTTATGGTGAGGATTCAAGTGTAAGAAATGGCACCAGCCATCTCTGCTGTCCCTGGAGAGGAATCTCTGAGCACTGCCTCTCAAGGAAGCACTCTGAGAAGAGTGAATAATCTCTCTACTTGTGTCCCAGCTTTTTTTCAGATCACTTGCTTCCAGGTTTTTTTGTCTGTGTTTTCACTAGGAGCAGTGCAGTGCCCTCCAGGCTCTCTCCCAGCCAATCGTGCTGACCTTCAAAACTACAGTCTTTATATTTTTTTTAAATTTAAATTCAATTATCCAAAAACTCCAGTATTCAGAGATGTGATGTGGGCAAGTCTTTGTGCTGATCTTCTGGAGGAGGGGCCTTCCAAGTCTCGCTGAGTTCTTCCACTTTTCTTTCCAGCCTGGTGAGCATCTTTGCAATCATTACTTTAAATTCCTTATCAGGCATATTGCTTATCTCCATTTCATTTAGTTCTTTTTCTGAAGTTTTGTCTTTCTTTTTCTTTTAAAGCATATTACTCTGACTCTACCATTTTTCTTGACTCTCTGTGTTTGTTTTTATGGATTAAGCAGAACAGCTACTTCTCCTAAATGTGAAGGAATCTCCTTGTGTATAGTTGTTTCCTTTGTAGTATATGTGTAGTTAGTGACTTTTTCTGGTTGGGTGAAGCTGTGGCTGGTATGGGCTGGAGGTTCTGGGGCCCTCCACATTATGAGCACCTTGGAAGGGCAGCTGAAGTTGAAGTGGGTGCAGAGGGTGTTGATCAGTGTAGTCCCTGGGTTCTTCATGCATTGGGTGTCCTGGCAAGACAGCTAAGGCTAAAGTAGGTGTAAACTAGGGTGTCTCAGTGCTCTCCCCATAGATGGTGTCCTGGAGGGGTCCTAGAGCTGAGGTGACCTGTGGCCTGGGAGGTCCCATGGCTCTCCATGCAGCAAGTACCCAGGCAGTACAACTAAAGCTGAAGTGGATATAGGCTGGGAGATCCCAGGGCTTTTTGTGAAGAATTCAACCTGGAGGACAGCTGAAGCTTAAATGTACGCAAGCCAGGGTGTTCTGGAATGGTCTGTGCAGAGGATATGCTAGTGGAGTGGTTGGCACTGAGGTGGTACAAAGCCCAGGAGGTTCCTGCGGTCCCTACACAAAGGATACCTTGACAGGATAGCTAAAAGTAAAGTGGGTGCAAGCTGGGAGGACCTGGAGCTCTTTGCACAGAAGGTATATTGTCTGGATAGCTGAAGCTGAGTGGATCCAAAGTGATGTGGGCCTGAATGTTCTGGTGTGCTCTGCACCTGTGGCCACTTGGTGGGGGGGGCTGGCTATGGCTGATATGGGTTAGGGGCCCAGGGCTTCTAACTAGGGTTTCCTGAGGCAGCAAGCCAGCTATGGAAACCAGACCCTGCTCTTACCTGTTCTTTTAACATGGAGGGGGAGCATAAACCCAAACATTCTCCAGTCCTTATGACTTAGAATTCTTTCAGCTCCTTTGGCTCTTGAAATTACACCTTTTTTTTTTTTTTTGGTGCCCCAGAGCTACCAGGGCTGGTGTAGGCTTGTGGACCAAGGGATCACTGAGGCGGCAAACTAGCTATGCATCAGGATGTTGCTTCATTTTGCACTTTCAAGGTGGAGTGGGAATTAAACCATGCTTTTCTCCAGTTTTTCTGACCTGGAGCAGCTCCTCTGTCATTTGGCTGAGTTCTAGTGTTGTATCTTTTATATATGGTAGTTGCTTTTTTAAACCACAGTGTGTGTGTGTGTTTGTGTGTGTGTGTGTGTGTGTTTTCCCTGTGCCCAAGGACAGAGGACTCTGTTCCTGGTACCTTAATACTATCACTTTTCAATGCTGTTTGCAGTGTCAGGAGTGGGAGTTCCCTTTATTACAATGTGTTCATCTCTTTTTTCTCTTTGGCCATTCTATCTTTTGTTGTGCAGAGACAGTTCAGTCAGCCCTAAGTCCTTCTTCAAGAGGAATTGTTCTATAAATCAGTGTAATTTGGTATGTTCCTTGGAGGAGGTAAGTTCAGGTTCTTCCTATGTAGTCATCTTGGACCAGACACTGTCTCTAGGAATTTAACTATTTCTTCTAGGTTGTTTAGTATGTTGTCATATAATAACATAGTGAAAAATATTTTCATAGTGGAAAATATTTTATTAAAGTATTGTTGAAAGACAATGTTACATTTGTTTTAGGTGTACAATATAGTGTCTGGACAACTATATTCTTACTGCAAGTGTAGTTACCATCTGTCTCCATACAATGTTAGCACAATACCACTGACTATATTCCCTATGCTATGCCTTTCATCCCCATGACTTATTTTTTTCATAACTGAGGGCTTGTATTTTCCACTTCCCTTCACCCATTTTGCCCACTCTCCCCTCTAACAACCACCAATTTGCTTTTGGTATTTATGGGCTTATTTCTGCTTTGTTTATTTTTTTGTTTTGTTTTTTAGATTCCACATATAAATAAAATTATATAGTACTTGTCTTTATCTGTCTCACTTATTTATGGTCTCACTTGTTTATGGTTTTATACTGTGTTTGGAAGGACACACTTTATAGCACTGCCAAGTTATGTGAAATGAAATCCTATCCCTTTCCTCCAAATTCCCCCTTTATTGGCAATTCTGATGATTTTTCCTGAGTTCATATTATTATCATACTTACCAGTACTATAGCAGTGGGCAAACTAACACCTGGGCATCTTCCCTACCTGTCTGTTTCATGCTGGGTTCATCCAATATTAACTCTTTAAGACCCCTAGGCTGCCCCAATTTATCCATTGTTCAACTTTTTAGAAGCAATCAGCATGGTAGCTGTTTCTAAGGCTACCTTGGAGTGTATTGGCAGTTAAATATATTTCCTTTCCTTTTTTTTTTATTAAGTGCTTTGACTTTTAGTAATGTGCTGTAATTGCTTTATGGGACTTTCTGGACACTTAGACATGATTAACATGTGTTTAGAAATGTTAGAAAAATACTGAATATTTTTTGGTCATGTGCCTCAAGAGTGATTAAGACATTGGGAAGTCTTGCAGTATATTTATTAATGGGGCTTCTGAGATTATGTATTAATTCACCCAAAGGGAACAATACAATTGGAGCTAATTTCTCTTGTAGTTGAGTACTAGTGAGAAGGTAAGAAATCTAAAGAAAGAGGCCCCATTATATTGTCATAATTAGCTTTATATTGTCTTAATTAGCTTTTTAATCAGCCTTGACAGGCAATATCCACTTTATTATACTAGAATTGGTACATGTAATGTATGGCAATTTGTTTTATCATCCAAAGTGTTTAATAACTATAATTTAGTGTGGTTTATATTTATGTTAGAATACCAAACTATGTGCTAAGAGGTCTGAATTCTCACATGCAAACTAGGCACAAATTTAGTGCACTCTCTGTAACTTTTTAAGAGGATGGCAATAAATATATCTTTCCCCAATTCATCTGTTAATTTTCCCTCTTCAAATTTTCTATCAAATTTCTTTTTGATTTTTAAGTTTTTACAATGTTTATGTCTACAAATAATAATGATAAAATGTCTTCTCTTTTTAAATCATAATTACAGAAGCAATACTTAATATTTTGAAGAATTTTTGGAATAAAGAAAATAAATCACTTATAATCCTCTCACATAGAATAATTCTCTTATTAATATTTTGATGTATCTATTTCTTAGCATTTTTTCTAAATTTATATATATACTTTCTTCTACAAAATTGAGATTACATTATATAGAGTCTGTATCCCTTTTCCCTTTAGCATTATATTGTGAGCATTCCCCACATCCTAAAATTTTAAAATAATGTGATTTTTATTGGTAAATTATATTTAAATAAATGTGATAACTATTTTTAGTCAGAATTTATGTGTATCTTTTCTGTTGTCAATATCATTTTTTAAACTTAATATATGTGCTTAAAACTTATCTCCAATTAATCCTCCATATAAATTATCTAAACCTCTGATGACACCTCTTCTTTGCTCATCTGTTGTGAATATCTGAATATTCTAAAATAAAGTGGTAATAGATGTAGAGAGAGAAGAGAGAAAATTGAAGTAGTGGTAGGAAATAGTCATCAGGGTTGCTATAAATTGGGAATTGTTATTAACCATCTGTGGCCTTAAAGAGAGGTGTAATAATAGTGGAAATATTTATAATGATTGAATAAAAAAAGAGATTCATTTATTTTTTTAAATGCATTTTTGGGCACCTGGGTGGTTCAGTCAGTTCAGTGTCTGCCTTCAGCTTAAGTCATGATCCCAGGGTCCTGGGATTAAGCCTGGCATCAGACTCACTGCTCAGTGAGGAGCCTGCTTCTCCCTCTCCCCACGCCTGCTGCTTCCCCTGTTTGTGCTCTCTTTCTGTGTCAAATAAATAAATAAAATCCTTAAAAAAGTGAAAACACATTTTTTGCATCATCAAGAAATAAAATGTCTATTGTTAATGTCTTGGTACTAAGAAAAAGACTGTTTGGGGTATTTCTTTGCTACCTATTGTTGATCCTTTACCCTTTCATTCTCTATCTTCCTAAAGCCATGGGAATAAAGAAGAGTTCTCCTGCAGAGGAATACAACTTGCTGTGGACTGGTTTCTAGACAAAGGCCATAAAGATATTACTGTATTTGTGCCTGCATGGAGAAAGGAGCAATCCCGCCCTGATGCACCAATTACAGGTACTATTTCAAATAGGACATTTCTTCTCATTCAGAGGAAAAGTTAGCAAGATAGTTTAGGGAGAGGTTGATGGTCCCAACTTAATTATTTTTCTAAGTTTATTAAGTATCTTAAAATGTCTTGTATTAAGTAGATTTTAAAACATTATTTTTCCTGATCCAAATAAAACCATTATTATGTTGTGGCATATGGCAGTTAAATTGAGACAACTTCAATTTAGCAAGGAATAAAGCAAGCAGTTTAAAAAAAAAAGGAGTGCTTTCTATTTGACAATGGACTTCAGACTAAAGGGGGATGAACATGGTTATGAGTGTGACTGTGTTTTCCAAAAGACTAAAGAAACCATGACAGAAAATGGATCACATTCTGTACCAGAGAAGTGATTGTGAGATTTGCAAAGTATAAGGTAAAATATATAGAGAGAAAAGTCCCATGACAGAAGCAACTTATCCATGAAACACAGCAGGCCCATTGCCCAGGGCCATGATACATTTAGGGTCCTACAAAGATGTTTTGAAGCACAGGCAAGATGTCAGAGTAAGAGGACCCCAAGCTCACCCCATCCCATGTTTGCAACTAGATATCATTCACATCCATGTCAATAAACAAAAGTGATATGAAGACTGGCAGAACAACTCCATAACTAAATGTAGAGAAGAAGCCACATCAGAGAGGTTAGGAAGGGCAGAAATGGTATTTTAGTCTGAAGCAGCCTGAAAGAGGGAGGGAAAACAAATCCCTGTAATGTCTGCCTTTGAATATCAGAGGCGCTGAATTCTGTGAGTTTATATAACCAGCAAGACTTTGAGCCTAAAGCTTTAAAAGTCCACTGACTCAGCCAGCAATGGGTGAGCTGGGAGGGCAAGTGATAGCTGGGTCTCCATCCTTAAAGAGACATCAGCCCAAGGAGAGGCAACATAGAAGCAACATCTTACAAAACAGGAGGAAGATTTGTTTATACTGATTTTGGAGAATGTTGGGGGACTTCTCTGGGAGCAAAGGAACTGACAGTGGCCATTTTCATTCCCCACCCTCCAACATAAACATAATCACCTACAGGAGGCTGTACTGCAAAGACACTTATTAGCTAACCTCCTAGCAGTGTGCCCTGCCCAGGAGTTCTCTTGAGGACTTGCTTTTCCTAAGTCGGCTGGCCTTGGCCCTAGGCTTAGTGTAAATTTTGTTAATGCCACAGGTGCCCCACCAAGTCAGCCATGTACACATATATCTTGTGCCTCAACCACCACAATTAGAACCTAGTCACTGCACACACAGATGGCAAACACCTCTGGCTGTTGCCACAGTTGTGTGCTGCAACCCTGTCATCACACTTTGAGGAACTGGCTTAGGTAAGTACACATTTTGATAATGTCACATATGCCCTGCCCACATGACACCAGCCACCTCGACTTTCAGCCACTGATTGCACAGCCAGCAGGTGCTCCTTGCTACCACCTCAGCCACATGCCCAGCTCCCAGCCACTGCCATTAACATGTGCTGTGCCTTTGGTCACAAATGTACTTTGGGGGATCTGACCTAGGACTAGTGACTCACTAAAAATTTTGCTAACACTTCTACCTACCCCTGAACCCTTATACAGTCTCATCCCCTCAGGGATGGACTACCTGGGTCTCACTAACACCACAAAGAGCAAGCACAGCCCACAACAGGCAGAGAATCAGAGCAGAAGCCTAGACTGAAACGGAAAGCTACTCAAACACAATAGCCAGATGCAAACAACACACATGGGAAAATCCCATGAAGTGCCAGGTTCTGATGAATAGGAGATACTGCAGTGCTGGACACTACAGGATCTCTTCTTTATAAAGCCACTACTTTCAGGAGCAGAGAGCATAGCTGACTTTTCCAACACAAAGAAACAGAGAGGTAAACAAAATGAGGAGACAGACAAATTTGTCCCAAATGAAAGAACAGGAGAAAATCACAGCGAAACTAAGCAAAACAGAAATAAGTAGTATACCTGATAGAGAATTTAAAGCAATATTCATAAAAGTGTGCACTGGACTTGACACAACAGTGGATAATATCAGTGAGACATTTAACAACGAGATTTAAAAAAAGAACCAATCAGGGATGAAGAGCTCAATAAATGAAATTAAAAATGAAATATTTGGAATAAACAGTAGGAAACAAGAAGCAGAGGAATGTATTAGTTACCTGGAGTTTAGAGTAATAGAAAGCAATCATGCTGAACATATGAGAGACAAATACTGCATAATGAATATAGACTTAGAAAATTCAGTGACTCCATCAAGCAGAGTAATGTTTGCATTTTAGGGGTCACAGAAGGAGAAGAGAGAAAAATGTGGGCAGAAAATTTATTTAAAGAAATAATAGCTGAAAACATTCCTAATCTGGGAAAGGAAACAGATGTCCAGATGCAGGAGGCACATAGAAACCTGAGCAAAATCAACAAAAGCAGATCCACACCAAGACATATTGTAATGAAAATGGCAAAATGCAGTGATAGAGAAAAAAAATATTAAAGCAGCAAAAAAAAGGAGATAGTTATATATAAGAGAAGTCCCATAAGGCTATCAGTGGATTTTTCAGCAGAAACTTTGCAAACCACAAGAGAGTGGCACAATATATTCACATTGTTGAATAGGAAACATCTGCAGTGAAGAATACTCCACCCAGTTAAACTAGCATTCAGAATAGAAGGAGAGATAAAGAGTTTCCCAGACAAATAAAAACTAAAGGAGCTCATGGCCACTAAACCAGCCTTGCAAGAAATATTAAAAGGAACACTTTCAATGCAAAGGAAAGACCAAAGGTAACAATATGAAAGTAGGAAACAAAAGAAGTAAAAATAATTACTTCTATTAAAAAATCAGAGTAAAGAACTCACAAAATAAATTATGATAATATATACCTAAAATGTTGGGAGGAGAGGAGTAAAAGAATGGGTTCAAACTTAAATGACCATCAACTTAATATAGACTGCTATATACAGAAGATATTACATACAAATGTAATGGTAACCACAAGTCAAAAACCACTAATAGATGCAAAGAATAAAGAGAAAGAAAACCAAATGTATCATTAAGGAAAACAAACAACAAAAGAGCATAAGAGAAGAAAGGATCACAGAAAACATCAGAAACAACCACAAAGTACATAGAAATGGCAATAAATATCTATCTATCAATAATTACTTTGAATGTAAATGGAATACATGCTCCAATTAAAAGACATAGGGTGACAGAATAGATAAAAAGAAAAAAAAAAAACCCAAGACACATCTCTATGCTACTTGCTTGAAGCTCATTTTAGACTTAAAGACACCTGAAGATTGAAAGTGAGGGATGGAGAAACATCTATCATGCAAAATGGATGTCAAAGAAAAGCTGGAATATCAATACTTATATCAGACAAACAGATTTTAAAACAAAGACAGTAAGGAGACAAAAAAGGACACTATATGATAATTAAGGGGACAATGAAACAAGAAGACATAAAAACTATAAATATTTAAGTACTCAACATGGGAGAACTAAATACATAAAATAGTTAATAATAAACATGAACTAATCAACAGTAATAAAATAAGAGTAGGGGACTTTAACATCCCACTTACATCAACAGGAAGATCAAAAATAAGAAAATCAATTAGGAAACAATAGCTTTGATGACACGTTGGGCCAAGTGGATTTAACATATATAGTTAGAACATCCCATCCGAAAACAGCAGAACACACATTCTTTTCAGGTGCATATGGAACATTTTCTAGAACAGATCACATATTAAGGCACAAAAACAAGTCACAGCAATTGAAAAGATCAAAATCATACCATACATCTTTTTCCACCACAACACTATGAAACTAGAAATCAACCAAAAGAAAAAAAATTGAAAAGAACACAAATACATGGAAATTAAATAACATGCTACTAAACAATGAATGGGTTAAGCAAGAAATCAAAAAAGATATCTGTAAGTACATGGAAACAAATGAAAATGAAAGCACAATGGTCCAAACCCTGTGGAATGCAGCAAAAGCAGTTCTAAAAAGGAAGTTTACAGGCATACCTCAGGAAACCAGAAAAATCTCAAATAAAAAAACTTAACCTTACCCCTAAAGGATCAAGGTGTAGATCTAGAAAAGGATCTAGATCTAGATCTAGAAAGGATCTAGAAAAACGAACAAGTGCAACCCCAAAAACACCAAAAGGAAGGAAATAATAAATATTACAGCACAAATAAATGATACAGAAACTAAAAACAAACAAACAAACACAAAAATAGAAGAGACCAATGAGACCAGGACTGGTTATTTGAAAATATTTAAAAAAAAATCATAAACCTCTAGCCAGACTGATCAAAAAACAAATAGAAATGACTCAAATAAATAAAATTAAAAATGAAAGAGGAGAAATATCAATCAAAACAACAGAAATAAACATTGAGGTACAGATGGCCATTCTTTTCACTACATCTGTATCTTTGGGGGTAAATACCCAGTAGTGCAATTGCAGGGTCATACAGAAGTTCTATTTTTAATTTCTTGAGGAATCTCCACACTGTTCTCCAAAGAGGCTGCACCAACTTGCATTCCCACCAACAGTGGAAGAGGGTTCCCCTTTCTCCACATCCCCTCCACCACATGTTGTTTCCTGTCTTTCTAATTTTGGCCATTCTAACTGGTGTAAGGTGATATCTCAATGTGGTTTTAATTTGAATCTCCCTGATGGCTAGTGATAATGAACATTTTTTCATGTGTCTGATAGCCATTTGTATGTTTTCATTGGAGAAGTGTCTGTTCATATCTTCTGCCCATTTTTTGATATGATGATCTATTTTGTGTGTGTTGGGTTTGAGGAGTTCTTTATAGATCCTGGATATCAATCTTTTGTCTGTACTGTCATTTGCAAATATCTTCTCCCATTCTGTGGGTTGCCTCTTTGTTTTGTTGACTGTTTCCTTTGCTGTGCAGAAGTTTTTGATTTTGATGAAGTCCCAAAAGTTTATTTTGG